TGTTTTTCAGTTTTTGACATAATTTGAAAATGGAAAAAATTCTGGTTCCACTGACTTACATTAAAAGTAGTGTATGTTTTATCCGTCTCCTGTAAAGTTACCATTTTGGAGATACAAGGTTTTCTTCCAACAACAGTGATATACACAGTGGTACATGAAAGGTAAATCTAGAAAAGAGTTTGAAGGGTATTCGTTTTTTATTGTTTGTATTGTCTTGCATCATTTTGTAATTTTATCTGTAGTATTTTATTGCACAGTAACAATGGGCCTTACTTACCAACCGTTCTTAAGAAGAAATTTCGGTAACACTTTCTATGAATGTCATGTTTGTAAGCATCTATAAACACATTCATAACATGTTATAATGCCTTCATACGGCATTATAAACATGATTAAAACATTTATAAAAATGAATTACACTTTATAGTCATGTTTATTATACATTATGAATTGTTAATATAATGCATTATAAGTAGTGTTAATAACATTTTATGCTGTCACTGCCGAAGAAGTCAGTCCCAGCTTGGAGAGTGTAAAGTAAAGACAAATACCAAGCTAACGGTGGTGTACATTACCTTTCCCACATTGGGTAAAACACTGATGGCAGCTCTAGTTTAAACTCTGACATTTGAAGCCTGTAATGTGCTTTACTGTGAATGTTTTAGTGTTTTATCAAATCCTTCAGTAAATACTTCAACATGAAGCCTCACTCTGAACACTGGAGGAGGCTTTAGTACAGTACGCTTCACTTTACTTAGAGCGGACAAATACGACTTATGAGCTCTTATAATTTGTTATGATCAGTACTTATAATGTATTATGTTAACAATTCATAATGCATAATAAGCATGGCTATAACATGTAATGTATTTTTGTAAATATTTATATCCATGTTTATAATGCCTTATGAATGCATTATGACACGTTATGAATGTGTTTATAGATGCTTACAAAGGTGACATTCATAGAGAGTGTTACCGAAATCTCTTCTTAAAAACACATTCACGCAGTTTTCACAGCATTTCCATCATTCACCAGTGTTTTCTTATTTGGAATTTGTTCTTAGGTAAGAACAGAATCTACTTACACTCGAGAGTACAAAGGTGTGAACAATTCTGTGGTTTAAGAAACACGTCACGAACCAGACGTAGACTTTTTCTTAGGACCTTTATCAAGAACATGTTTAAGAACAAACTTGTCAAGATATTGGTGCATGAGGCCCAAAGCGTGTCCATTGTATTTATGCTAAAAAGACAAATATCTCAGTGTCATCTCATCATAAATGCAGTTTCTTTCTCCTGTTAGCTGCATGTGCTGAACATTGGACAATGTGAAAATAATAATTTTTTTTTATCTTTCACAATCTAAGGAATGGCGAAGAACAAGGACGAAAAGCCCACCTCCTCCCTCCACAAAACAAACCTTGTGGAAAAGTGAGAGTAGTTTTCGAGGAAGCAGATCTGGTAGCAATTACTTCGCACAACACCCAGCCAGCTCTCACAGAGGACACGCGTCACACACTGCACATGATGCACGTTCGTTAACGTTTTAAATATCATTCATCTATAATGCTGCTATGCCAGGCTCCCTTTTCTTGGAACCAGTTTGAATTCATTTTCAGTACTAAGAATGCAAAGAATGGGCTTACATTTCTGGGAAGAAACCAAAGCTCCTCGCAAGAATTAACCCACAAGAATATGAAAATGGAGAAGGATGAAGAGATATTATGAGCTTTCTAATGAAGGTCATGAAAAACTTTTATACAGGGAGATTCACTCGAAAGAGGCCCTGAATATTCTGTAATAACTCTCTCTAGGACGAAGCAATCTGAACGAAACAACGTGCAATGTGCTCCTCTGTATATGGAGCTTCGAACAAGCTGGGATGGCCCTGCATCGGAGCGATGAGGTTGCGCATCATAGGCTCCATTTTCTTTGGCACCAAAATGGTAACTTTACAGGAGAGGGAAAAACATACTTTACTTTTAATGTAAGTCAATGGAACCAGACATTTTTCCACGTGATTGTAGGTCATTTCTTTTAGTCCATTCATCATGAAATTCACAAACAATGTAAAGGGCAACAGTAGAGCTGGGCGATAAAACGATAATGATAATTATCGCGATATAACTTTTCCTCGATAGAGCGATACGACATGTTCGATAAATGTTCAATATAATACACCACTCTCACACTCCCACGTTCAGCGAAAGCCTTGGTGGCGTTTTCTACTGCAAGGAAAGCGACACTACTCTGCTGTCGCCAGGAGAGGGCGCACTTCCGAGTTTTTCTACATGATTAGAGAGGGAGGGGGCCACAAGTAAGATGAGTCTTTAGCAACGGCTGAAACGTGGAGTTATACATTCCCTGTTTGAGTGGAGCGACCAGCGATCTGTTCTCCTGTGACCGAGTGTGAGTGACGAGGTCAGTGGTGTAACTGTACTGTCCTACAGTGAACTCACCTCTTTCTGTACATCCTAACCAGCTTTAGCAGCGTTAAATCACAATCCTCACAACTACAGCGCTGTTACAGAGCTCGGACAGTCATATTTAAGTATGAGTGCATTCCCAAGCAATGAAAGTGAAAGAAAGAAGTGTGTTCATGTAAATTACAGCCCTGATGTAAACAAAAGTAAACTGAGGAAGCTGTGAGGCATTGGAGAGCGGGAGAGCGCTAGCTTTCCAGGCTAGCTGTTTTTAGCAGCTGGCTAACTTAAAGCAGCGCTTCGTCACTGCACGACACGGCGAATTAATGATACTGTAGATCAAACACGACACAAAAGCACCGCTTTCAGTTTAAACGTACCTAAAAGGAGGACTGTTTGTCTGGTGTTGATATTTTGCGGTTCACCACTTAAACTACTACAACTGAATATCCAGTCGTCTAGCTGGTGTCTGAATACTGTGATGTCATGTGTAGCGGGGTAGCCGAGCGCTCGGCTCCAGCTAACAATAATCTGTTTTCTTTCTTAAATCATGACTATTACAAAATAGCCGTGCTTTTCCAGCTGGTAAAAACAGCTCACCAGACACTTTCTCCCACTCTCCCATGACAGATTTATGAGATGCTCCACTGTTTGGTGAGTGTTTGTCGTGTTCTGACCATAAAGGATAGTTTAAAATAGCAATTAACCACCCAGGAGCAAAAATCAGCCTTCAAACTTGAAAGAAATAATGATTTGACATTTATCGCGATATGTATCGATATCGAACAATATAAATTTTGTTTAGCGTGATAACATTTTTGGCCATATCGCCCAGCTCTAGGCAACAGGTATTTTCAAATTATGTCAAAAACTGAAAAACATCAATAATGGACATATAACGTTTTCCTCTCGACAACAGCAAAGAGAGAAAAGTGAGAATCTGAGTGGGAGGCTGGTCTGACGGGGGCAAACATATTCACCAATGTCCAATGCGATGGCAAAGTTTCCAGTTCGTGCAGTGGCAGTGAAAATAAACCCCAAGTCAGCAGCGGGAGTCCAACTCAAAACTCCGGTCATTAAAGACCTGGCATGTCACTAGTGACCATGACAGATGCTAATAAAGATGACTTCAGGATAAACAAATAATGATGAATAACATTCGCCTGACTTCAGACATCAGCTGGTCAGGGGAACAGGAGTTGCCAGCTGGTGCCTCCAAGTTCGTCAAACCTCTCCAGTATGTATTTCTCTCAGACAGACCTTGGCAGAGAAGTCAGTGCATGTCTTATTACAAAGGAAGCATGGAGCTGGCGAAGATCACTAAAAGCTGCTTTGATGCCGACCAGATCTGCGCACCAATGTCCAGCTGCATCACTCAAACCAACACACAATGACAGGGTAAAGAAAAATAGTGGGGAAGAATCTCACACCTTGAAAACACACCTGACAAAATGACGGAAACCATGCGCTCTCACAGAGTTACTCAACGTGTTTAGTTAGGCTGACTCGAAATTATTACACTACGGGCTATTTGAGTTATGGGCCCTGCTGAGATAGAAGAGATGTTTAACCGAAAAAGCACAGACTTAACATCAGCAACAATACAACTGTTCATGTCATAAAAGCATCCATATTCAAACAATACACCAATTACAGCATTCAAGCCTCAAAAGCAAGCTGTGAACGCTTTTGCAGTCAAATATGGTATAAAAGTTTCCTCCTACAGGCTTCCACAGGACTGGGTTCAAAAATAGTCTGGACGTGGTGTTTTTAGCACATCTGGTTGAGCGTGTGTCTTATTTTATAAACATGAATTTCACAAAAAAAGTTCTCTAAAACAGTTCCTTTAAGATCTTTTGACATTTTCCAAAACATTATCATGGTGCTACTGTTAACCCCTTAAACCCGACACATCTCTGCTGTTCAATCTGCTTTTCCAAGTGATTTCTCGGTGCTGCTGTTTTGTTTATTTAGATATGTGAGAAACGTGATTTACAAAAGCAGAACATTCGTATTTTTATTCGGTTTGTGTCACGCAATGCCCAAATAGGGATATACATCTGACATCGGTTGTGCTTTATTGTTAGCTTAATTAAACAACTCAATAATAAGTGCTTATCAATCCAAACTTCCCTCACAATGAGCTCACAATGCATCAACAAGATCAGGAGCCTCGTGCATCTTTTATTCAGTGATAGAAACGCAGAACACTCCAGTTTAACACACTGAATTTGATACCGCCAATGGGGACATGCATGTGGCGTAACTCCTCCGGCAGCAGGTTAAAACAAGCAGCTATCTTTTTTTTGGCATGTTACCGGGGTTAAACGTCAATCCTGGTGGGTCAGAGCCCTGCACGGTTTAGTGCATAATAAAAAATATTAAATGATTTGTATTGGCAAAGTTGTGAGACTCACAGCAATTGATCATCTGAAATCTATCTCTGCTTTAACACACCTGGTTCAACTCATCCACCAATTATCATGCACTTCAGAGAAAAACACTAAAGTGTGCAGTGCAGCGGCTCTGCAGGAGGCTTGTGTTTGAAACAACAGCGTGACTCGTAAGTACTTACTGTTGCTGGAAGGGGATGGGGCCATTTGGAGAGGCCTTCATGGTCAGGGTCATGTGTGCCATGTTGCCGCCGGGCAGTGGCAAGGGGCCCTGAACTGGACTTTGTGGGTGGACTTGCTGTGGAATAGGCCGCTGGGGCACTATGTTATGCCCATTTGTATGTCCACCGGTGTGACCGTTGGTGTGTCCGTTGGCGTGACCGCCAGTGTGACCATTCACAGGTCCGGATGGGTGAGAGGAAGGGGGCAGGGTGGTCTGCTCACAGGATTTGCCCTTAGAGCCAGGCTTGCAAACACACATCTGCGGTCGGAGGCACATGCCGCCATTCTGGCACTGGGGTAAACAGCTGGCTGTAACAGATGGAAAAAAGTGAGAGGTCAGGTAATGCTCATTGTGTCCACGTGCAAACAAGCAAGAATACATACTAAGAAGTATTAAGTAGATACTTCAATAGAATATAAGTGTCAACGGAGGATACATGTATGCACAGCGCTCTCTTGGTTGGCACATATAATAAGTGTCTTAAATGACCCCTGCCATTGTTCATGATCCATTTCGAGAAGGCCCAATTATCTAAGCCTCGCCTTGGAAAAGGAGCTAGTGGGTCTGTTTGGGTTCCACAAGCTTCATCGCTCTTGGCCACACCTTTTGAGCAACAACCAAATATTGAGCATTTGGGCTGCCTATAACAGTCCTTGGGCAAGACTCCTAACTCTCTGGCCACTACGGATAAGCATGTCTGTTATATGCTGTAAATTCAATTTAATTCACGACAGGGTTGCCCTATGTCCCCTTCAGCGTTGGCTGACTGGGGAAAATGTCTCCCGTGTCGGTGCATAGGACCGCTGTACTGTTCAACTCCTTCTCCCCCCTTGTTGACATTTCTTTGTACACGCACCCATAAACAGGAAGAGTCTGAGCTTATTTGTTTCTCAGTAGGTGGTTTTGATTGTGGCATGAAACGTGATACTACAAAAACAACCAAACTTTAACTGAGACAATGAAAGTTACTTGCCGGATTGACTGAATAAGGCTTTGTTTGTTGCAGCGGGCAAGAGTGAGAGAGGACAAGCGAGTGTATGTATGTGCGTTTGTGTCTCTGTTTTGGCCACTCTGGCCGCTAGGCAGGCTTTGTAGTTGAAAGATGACAGCCCTGGTCCTGTACCTCACTGCTGTAATTACAGGCTGCAAGCCAGACTCCTGGAGAAACCCAATATCCAGAAAACCCCATATCTCTCTCTCTCTCAGTCTCCCTCTCTTACTCACTCACACAAACGAGATCAAACTAGTTTCTCAATGACTACTTCGTGGTACTCCACACATGGGGGTCCTGTCTAGAACACTGACTCATTGAGTAGGACTGGGAGTGATTAAGCCTGGACTGCATGAACAGTACGCAGCAGTATGAAGGGCGTACAAAGCCCAAAGGAGTTTCCCCACTAATGCTGACCTCAGAGGCTACCTTAATGGGATAAGAGTGTCCAGCTGCTTCATTCCAAAGGCAAATATCAGTATGCAATATTTGTATGCTTAGTGTAACAGATGACAATTCAGCAGGCTGGGTTCCAGAACAAAATCACTGTAATAAATCAGCACAGTTCACATTATGCAGGCCAGTGAAAAAGAACGTAGCTTTGCCTGTGCAAACCAAGCCCTACTGAGCTGTTAACACTCCGTATTTTTTTGTTTTATGTATTTATGCAGTGCTATATTTAGGTTTTCATCATTTTCCAATCATAACAAACACTGGGCCTCTCGACTGATGCAGCCATCTTGCCGTTGGCCCCATCGTCAGGAGACTTAGGCCCAATCCCATTTCAGCCCTTGAACCTACCACTTAGCCTTTACCCCGTCCGTTTTGTGTGTTCTTGTCTAGGGGTGGGGTGTCCTGATTTCTTGTTGAGATAGAGGGGTAGGGGTGAAGTGTTGGGGCTACATGACCCTCCAAACTGAGGTTTTTCAGAGACTCCAAACAGAGAGTCATGAGAAAAAAAGAAAAACCGGCAAGATGGAGAACAAGAGACCAAAGAATTTTCTCTATTAAAAATTACAATAATCACTGTATTATCTTAGTTTAATGTCGTTTCAGTGTATTATGGTTGTTTTATTCATAACAAGCATAAAAATCGCTAGTAGTTTGCTGATGTCTTTGTAGCTAGCTAACTAAATTTCCATTTAAGGTGGAATAGGAAATTTCAAACGAAAAGCTAATGATTAGCTGACTTCACCTTCATATCACTGAAGAATTAGGGGTGATAATAAATAAATGCCCCCCCCCTTCTGTGAAGACATACTATTCCCTATATTTAACTAAAGCCCAGCAGTGAGGAGCTGAACTTTACCCTCCTCTGCTGTCACTGCAGACTGGCAGGGTCATCTACAGAGCAGAGCTAGTAGCTGTTAATGAAGTAATGCTCTTTTTTATTTGTGGGTTCCATTGTGTAGGGGAAGATTTCAACCACTGCCCTTTCTAACTCAGTTCCAAGGGGCAAGATGTCATTGAAAAACAAGGGATATAGGTAAAAATAAGATTTGGGACTGGGCCCACCGAGTTCATCAGTGATACCACAACCATCTGAGGAAGTCCAAGACCGCATAATTGGCCTTGCTCTCTCAAGGTTGGGCAGGATCCCAATCGCTCAGTGTGATGTTAGCCAGTATGACGTAACAGAATTACGAGTTAGTCAGAATTATGAGTTGTCCAGTGACACTGCATTAGCAGTGATTTGAAAAGATGCAGTGATTCAGAAGAATGGGGGGAAAATTAGCTGGCCGTTGAAATGGGCAATGACCATATTGTGGGGAAACTGGGCATCAAAAAACATCCAGTATGATAAACATAGAAGATTCTAAATGCAACACAACACACTGATGCATGCCCACTGCGTATGCTAATGACCGTCTTCATCCTACACTACCAGAGCCATCCTATATACTAAGAGTTCTCTACCACAGAGCTAACTGCACCCCTGTAGAACCGGGAGGGACGGTCAGAGTACCTTACGCTCAGAAATGACTGATGAAGCTTGGGCTGATGAAGCTACGCAACCCTCACACCTCCACCCACACATAGCGGAACCCTCCCAGCCACGGAAGAAGCGATTACATCATGAATTACATCATTCTCGTCCTCTCCTACTGCGCTGCATAGTGAAGGTTTTATTGCAGTAGACTTTGCTCTGTTACCCCCCACTCAGAGCTGGGGGCTTTGCTGTCTTTTCCACACTCTGTAAATAGTTCTCTCTTGTTTCTCTCTCCCCCCCCCACCCCCACATCAGGAGGGGTTCACAGTCTGTGGCAAGTACAACAAGAGCTCTGTTCAATATCTCTCGCTCTCTCTCGCACATACACACACACACAGGTTAGCTTTTATACCCATGTTAGGACGTAGGCAATATACATGTCCTATAAGTATCATACATATGTCACTACACAATTACAGTACTGTGCAAAAGTCAGAGACCAGCCTTCGTTTATTTAATTTCCAGTCAAAACAGCCTGTACAAGTTTAGGAAGCATCAGGAAAAAAGCTCAAAACATATTTAGCAGAAAATTACACAGAAGCCTTGATGACTAAATATAATATCGAGCTTTTCAGTATTTATTGTGTCCACTCTCTGCCTTAATTACAGCCTCCATTCTTTTCAGGAGACTTGCTTTCATTCTTTCAAAGAAATCTGCAGGGACACTTTTCCACACCCCCAAAGTTCAGTCTTAGAAGTCAGTTGCATTTTCTGCTCCCTACGATCCAAGTAATCCAAACACATTCTGTGATGCTGAGGTCTGGACAGTGGGGTGGTCAGTTTATTGTTCTGAGAACAGCAGTAGCTTCTTAGTCTGATTTGCAAGTTTTCTTCTTTTTTGTCGATTCTCTTTTCTCAGTGAGGTTCTTCTTAACAGCTACACATGCTTTCAGACCCATAGTGCTGAGCCGTCTTCTCACAGTGGAAGGGTGGAGAGAAACACCGGTAGAAATTTTCAGATCTGAAATAAGAGTGGAGATTTTCTCCTCTCTCTCAAAGCTTTTAGTCCTGTTTATCTGATGGGGACAGTTTTGGTGACTACCAAAACTTTGGGTGTATCTACTGATCGCAGTGGATTGTAGACCAATTAACAAATGCCGATGTTAATAACATGCATACGGAATATAATTCAGACAGCCAGTCAGCAGTCTAGATTTAAAACAAGCATGTTTACTGGCTCAAAACAAGCTGATAAGACTGAATACTTAAGTACCGAATTTTGGTATTGAATGAAGTGGAAAGTTTGATGAAGTTCACATTCCAACCTAATCTAGACCAAAATATGATGGTAAACTACTAGGGGCATAAAAATCATGATGCATTGACTTGAAGGTGGAGTTTCAACTACACTTCATATGGAGTGTTAGTATTGATTATAATATTATCAATTATACTACTATCCAATATGGTCCAGTATGGTCTCATTTTTTGGTCATAACGAAATTAACAATCCAATAAAACAGTTCATTTTGAAAATAGGTGTAATTATATATTGTCTAAATTCTATATATAGTCTATATTCCACTATCATGTAAATACCGTAGTTTCTCCAGACACATTTGTGTATTTATTTGAAAAATAATTCTAAATCGTCCCAAAATAATCCAATCGAATCATGGTGAAATTTAAGTTGTTTTGATAGGCCCTTTTCACATTTCCGCATTTTTCTGCTGGAAGTAGTCGCTGCAGGGTAACGCTGCTTCCACTAAGGCAATAACAAAAACAGCGATGAGTAGAGCGTGTACAGCTCACTCAAGTGTTCGAGTTTGAAGCAAAAACAAACTTATCTCAGTTTCAGTGGTTTGTCAGCTGACGATGAGGAGAGGAAAAATGAGTTTGTGCAATTAATAAAGGAATAAACTTTGTCATACGGAGTAAAAGAACCTGTGTGTCAGCATTTCACCACTGCTCACTAATGTTAGTGTGCAGTTTGTGCTTTAAAGTTGCGGCTGCAGCCACTTTCAGAGGAACAGTTTTAATTTTCTCCCTCAAAAGCTGTGGGTCTCTGAGAGAGTGAGTGCTCAGCAGGTAGCAGATGTTCGTTTACTGGAGTCAGTCATTGTGGAAAATGTCTACAGTGGCGATACGGACCATGACGGCCCAGCGCGCCCCCCGTCAGCATGTGTGCGTGTTTAGCTTTTTGCCAACTAGTTTATTGTCAGCGGGCTGTTTCGACATCTCCAGCTAACATGGCTAATTTAGCAGAGACACTTTCTGTGGTGAGCTGAAGTGATACGAATGTCTGTGTTTTTGAGGTTAATAACTGGATGTAAGGCAATACTGGAACGCACTTCCATTTCTTGTGTTTATGCACTTCTGTTTCTTGT